AAGGGAATGTGCGCGCAGAGAGGACCCAGAGGTCAGCCCGAGGGCCGAGCGGGGGTGGTGGCGCCTTACAGCCCACGGCGCAGGATCACGGGGTGGGTTATAAAGGGCAGCCTGAAACGAAGTGACTTTCAATGACAACAAAAGTATAGGTTAGGAAGCCTGATACTCAGATGATGCCTTCCAAATAATGGGGTGCACTATTAAAACAATGGCCTGGGCACCAGGTTTGGGATTGCCATCAAGTGTAGTCTTCCAAGCTCCCAGTTCCCACTGAACATGAGAGGCTCGGCTTGACAGCCTCTAGGATCTTCCCACTCCGAGCATCACGCCTCGGAGACTCCAGAGATCCAGACTCTTTTGTACAGTCCTCACTTTCTTTCTCTCTCTTTCTTTCTAAACTATTTTTTACAATTGATTTTAGAAAGGGGAAGGGGTATATGGAGAGAGAAATATATGTTGGTTGCCTGCCTCAGGCACCCAGACTGGGCATCAAAATGCAACCTTGGCATATGCCCTGACCGGGAATCGAACCCACCACCTTCTGGTGTATAAGCGACACCGCAGCCGCCTGAGCCACGCAGGCCAGGGCTGTGCAGTCATCCCTTTCTACACCCTGCTCCGGGGTCAGCTACCAGAGTTCCCAGCGCACGGTGTTCATCAGCTGTCAGACTTCACTTGTTTGCTACTGTAATCTCTCTGCAACGGATTTTTCACTTCTAAAATATTTCCCAAGCCCGCCTCAAGGATTTCATGAGGAAGAATAACCAATGAGAAAATGCTTTGAGAGAAAAGGGAAAATGTTACCCAAGTCTTACGTAAAAACAATGTTCTCATTTAGGCCACCTTAATAATTTAGCCTGTTCCTTTCCTGGACTGTAACTTGAGGGTATCCTCTGATACTGTAAGATGAACAGCTGCCCGAGCAAAGCTTTCGTGTGGCCAGTAGCCGTTCCCAAGGGGCGCCGTGCAGAGGCGAGAGGTGGGGGGTTGATGGTACATTTGAAGTGTCCTTCATGAGCATCATTACCCGGCAAACACAACCTCTTCTACAGGAAGAAAGTGGTACAAGCCCTTAATGAAGAGTGTGAGTAGATGTAGGTTAGCCATTACCTTACACACATTTTTGATCCTTCCCAAAATAATTGTTTAACGTCTTATAATCATTTACACTATTCAGTGACACCTAGAAAAGCAAGTGCCTACTATTTCTCTCTATAGGTTAAGGCTAAGCCATTATAAAGTAGATTTCTGAACTTCTTTATTATTACCAAGTTCTTATAGAAGAAAACTAGTATATTCATTTCTCATCATGTGTTTTTTTAATTTGAAAATCCTTTAGTACTTTTAAAAACTAATTATCTTGTTTCTTTAGTGTTGTGCCAATGCAAAACAACTACCTTTCTCAACCTCCCTCCCTCAAAAACTTCCAAAAGGACACTGGAAATTATATCAGAACCATTTGTTCTCTCACGCTCCTCACAGTCTTCCTCACGGCACATTGGCAAGAGTTATCTAAACTCTATTTGAATTTTTCCAGTTACAGAGACCTCAGGACCTCACGAGGCAGCCCATTTCATTTCTGTACATCTCTTGTGGCAAGAAAGCTCTTCTTCATACCAATATTTACCTATTTTGTCTCTTGTCTTTGTCTTCTAATTTCACATTTGAAAAGCTCTCAACATGCGCACATAGCAACAAGTCCCTCAGATACCAAAGGCAACAATAAGCAGCTCGCTTTTCTTTTTCTGCCCACAAAGTTTCCCCTGATTGCTCTCAGATGTAGTGCATCCCTTGAATTAAAATTTTAGAAAATATTCCAGACTCAAATGAGGAACATTCTATTGCATTTCAGGAGTCTAGGACTTGGGTGAAAAGAACTGATGATGCAGTGAAACCTGGCCGGAGAGGTTGTTACGGCCCCGTGGAAGGTCCAGAATTCTGCTGGTGGCTCTGCAAATCACAATCACTTTCGTCATGACTACTACCTGATGTTTATAAAGACTGCCTTGCTGACTTGCTTCTTTAAGTCAAAAATCTGCAAAGGAAATAGAGCTGACATAGCATTTAAGGACCCAGAATAAAAAATGGATCTGTTGCAACTGGACAATGCTAAGGAGACTGACTGAAAAGAAGATGCTTATACATCCCAAGAGACTTCAATATGTGATCCCCCATCATCTGCGAGAGAGGAGAGATTGTTTCTTAAGATAGAGTTTACGGGTGACTTCATAGCCAGAAACCATTTTAATCAGAACAATTGTGCAAAATCGAACTGGGAGGAGAAAAGGAGAGAAGTCTAGCCCATAAAAAATACATACATGCAATTTTCTGGAATTACACAGGGCTATTCTCCAAGAGAAAAGAGATGACTGTAATCTTTAGAATCCCATAAATGCACAGAATGTAAGCTTTCTTTGTAATGGAGTTATATTGTTGTTAGAACTGTATACATAAACATACTCAACTTCCTCTCGTACTTAAGAAAGAAAACCTAAACCAGGAATCACAAAGTAGACACTGACCATTCTTAGATTACAGCTTAGTTTGTACCATAGGTGTCGTATATCATATTGCATATTATGTCACAAATACCAATGGTATTTTGAAAAGTATCTTCAACTTCCCCAGAGTGCAGTTAGGAAACCATGGCATCTCTCTTTCCTTCTGTTCTGAGACTGGTGCTTTTAGGCCCTTGCTGAGGGCATGGCGAGACAGCACAGCCACCTTTCCATGTCCCTCACCCACACTCCGTGCCACTTCCCGGCTGAAATTTAAGAAATCTTAGGGGTTTCCTCAGCTACTGTAGTATTATTTCTAGTGCAGTTTCCAATGCATACTTTTATGTTATGATCTGTTCAAAAGACCTCTAAGAATACTAATTATTCGTATGTTTTTCTATCAGGTTATATGATGATTATGAACCATTGCTGACAGCAAATAAAATTATTTAGTTATCTAAAATCATATCTGAATTTCACATGCATCCCATTTTATCCCCACTGAGGCTCCTTTGATAAAATAAGAAAGCTTCATTTTTATCAAATCAATAAAAACTTATAAATAAAAATTCAGTACAATCTTTTGTATGCCAAATGGACATTGACGGGGCACATGCAATTCAGTGCTGCTTTCGGTGCTGCTAGGGAATCTGAAAATTCCCTAGCAATTTCTTAAGTTCTTCTTAAAAAAACCTGTTTCTAATTGAACATAACATGATTATGAAGGGTGCAGGATTTGGAATCCTACAGAATGTGGGTTTGAATTCTGAATCTTCCACTTACTTCCAGGACTAATTATCATTCGTATGCAAAATGTGACTAATAGCTATCGTCTGTGTGTGCACTGAGAATTACATGTGGGGGAAAAAGTCTCTGAGTTGCTTAGAGCAGAATATGAACTTGATAAGTGCTAGCTATTATTCTTGCTATTATTGTCAAGTCTCTGATCTCTTCGTGTACATTTAACTGTAAACCATTCACTTGGCTGGTAGGACATAACTGACAGAAATCTTACCTGAATACTATTAACCTTAGGAACAGTTAAACGGAAGCCACCGGTGCCAAGGATTCTGGAAATCCCTGAATCACAGTGATCTACACTGTAGATGGGTTACTTTGTCATTTTTTTCATTCGCGTTTACGTCCCGCTTAATTTCTTCTATTAGAAAAAAAGCATTTTTGTCACTATTTTTTCCTGACTACCTATGAAACACAAAGAGATAAGTGAAGTTCTAATTGCACGTTTTATTAAATTCAATAAGTAACAAACATTCATGTGGATCACACAGGCTCTCAGAAGTCCGGCTTCGGGTTCTGGTGAGGTTTCCTTCCCGTAGCGCCCACCACGCCCCGGGCGCTGTGGCTGAGCTGGGGGTGCCCGCGGGCTCTCGGGGGACCGGCTGTTCAATGCACTCGCTGCGCGTCCTGAATGTCAATACCCAGCTGCGGGCCCTGCGCCCC